TTTTGTTTGCATGATGAGACATTGCACGTTAGAAAGTTTGCTTTGATGTTGCGGCTTTCACTCGTGATATCAGCTTTTTCATTTGATGCGAAAGGGAATGTCTTACAATTAGATGGGGGCATACTATTTTTCGCTTTCAAACATAATACGAATGCTTTGCAAGAGATAATATTGAGATGTTATTCAACAAAAACTTCTGATAATTGAAATAAAAGTTGTTGTTAATGTTGTCAATTTTATATTTGCATAGTCTTTTCGAAATTATTTTTTAGCGAATGCATTAAGTTGCAATATTGCACGAGAAATTATAACAAATAATTATAAATTTATAGTTGCAGCAATTTATTAAAATTTTATAAGTACAAATGTCATAATATACCAACTGTCCTATTTACATTTCCCGGCACGATCATCACAGCATTTGAAGCTTTTATTACAGTATTAATTTGTTATAAAATAAAATGCGTTTAAAATACGAATAAACTTAAATATAAATGCCAAAATAGTAAGGTGAAACAAGAAGAATCTTATCATTTTATGAGATGTTCTTTAAAAAAAAAATTTTTTTAAATTGTTTTTTTTTAAATTTCTATGTCAAATTAGTTCTTCAACAAATATAATGATATATAAGGAAATATTAGTATTATACATATATCAGTAATGACATAAAGTAATATGTCAAATAACCAGAATTAATCGTGGTACTTTCTTATATAGATACTTGATAAACGTCATCGTTTTTTTTTTAACGCTGAAAGACTCATCTCGAGTAAAGTATATGGGTGTCACTTGAATGGTTCTTATTTTGATTAAGTTTGGTAGTGAACGCTTTTGTTTTGGACCGAACTGAAAGCTGTACCTGTTCTAATTAACTTATTCAAAGAACACCCGGAGCCGGATATGTAATGTCAGCATTGTAGACGTCTAAATGGGCGTCTTGAGATACATGGCAGGTCACACAACGATCCTGTATTATATCACAACATTCAACACGTCGCCGATTGTTTTATTGAATGATATCTGTGGCGTCTACACTCCACTGGATTTACCAAGCTTTACTTTAAAGGTGAAATTTTTTGAATTACTCTTTCTAGCTCGAAATGCTTGATAATATGTAAAGCTATTATAGATATTGGAAAGATAAATATTTAATTTATATATTTTTCAATTAATAGATGCATTTTTATCAATTATTACTATTAGAGCACGGAATTTGTAATTATAACTCTTAAATCAAATTGAAACATTAAGCATTATACGATTTAATATTTTATAATATTTTCTACATCATGGATATATAGAAAATACAGATTCTAACTCCTGAAATTGACGTATTGTTATTTTATCCAATACATTGCAAACAATCATCTTGTCTTTTGACATTATAGTAATTTTGTCGTTATAAATTTTTATTTATAACGACAAAATTACGTATCAAATCCATTGTACAGTTTTTACTCTAATTTCGGGTTACTGCGCAATTTTATGTGAAAAAACAACGCGTGATTCTTTTTAAAATAAAATCTTCGACCGGTACTTTTATTGAAGCTTTATCCCGTGCATGATCCTTCCGCATTGATCGTCGATTGACGTGATCTCGATAAGAACCATGAATCAGGAGTAGAAATCTTTTATGTCTCGGATTTCTAGCGGTCAAAATTTCTTCCGGTCCTCGTCGCGAGTCGCGCACAAAATGCCGTGTAACATGACACGTATCCCTTTTACGCAAGCACGTGGGAAGAAACCGGCCAAAGTGCGTGTATGCGCTCATAATGGAAATTCAAAAACTGGTACCGATGAAAGGGATATGTTTTAAAACATGTCAGCTTCAATATCGACGCTAGCCATCGATCCGATTCACGCTCAACGCAGCCACGATGATATTTCACTTCCGAGAACTCGGAACAAGCGAGATACGTCGCTTCGGACTCCTTCAAATAGTGCCTTTGTGAAAAACGCCATAAATAATAGTAATTGTTAGACAAACTCATAAGCAAACTGTCTTATTAATTTAGGTATAATAAAGGTATTACTTCGGTATAAAAAAAATTAGCTTCTTTGAATATCACTTTAATTTCATGATTCTGTATTGAATCCCCCTCAGTTAATTACAAAATTGATTAATTATTTAAAATTATAATGTTTATGCTTCTCGATCGTGTACTGCCCTGTTTCGTTTCAAATGCACATACATTTGTATTCGCATTATACATCGTTAACGCACTCGCGGCCAATAAAAGCTCTTGATCAATTATGTTTGTGAATATTTCAATATTTGCCAGTATACGATTGACATTTAGAAACATGCTTGTGTATATAGTCTTCTATTTTGAAATTTCTAAATATACGTACATACATATATACATATATAAATACATATATATACAAGTATACGGCGACTGAATGGACTTGCCTCTCAAGTTTCTAAACGGTAGCTGCAGCGTTTTCGCAGCCCGCCGGGTAATACGTAATATTTTTAATTGGATTTCTCTCTCTTTCTCTCCCCGTCACAGCGCCGATGTATCCTCCCCTTCTCGCAACCGGCGAAGAAAAAGGCTCAAAGCTTCGCGAAACTACCCCTCACTCTAACGGAGCTTGCAATTATTTTCTCGCTTCTCGCGAATTGTTGCAGTGTAAAATTCTTGCCCCGCACGTACGTTTGCAATGACGAATACCGCCGCTTCTATTCAGCGTTTCTCTTTTAACGCGCAATCTTCCGTACGCGTAGCTCCCAGGTAGCGTTAGAGTCGCCGTTAGAAATGGTAGTATTAAGGAAAAAGAATATTGAACTAACGATAATCCATGAGTTTCGCAAATTATCAACGAAATGCGATTTGAGAAGAAAAAAAGAAACAAATCATAATGGATGTGACTTAAATGCAAATGGAAACTATGAATAATTTTATAAGATATAAATTTCTTGGACTGACATAGTTTCTCATATTTTTTAAATATATATTTTGTAATAAAAACATAAAAATATACACTGAGAGAAAAAAAGTGTTAAATAAAAGATATTTCTTGATTCAATTATACACAGATTGTCAAACAATTATTTGTTAATTTAACAAAATCCTTAATTCACAAAAATATCATGTTAATATTGTTGATATCTGTTTAACTCAAAAGCATTGTATAATTGAATTTAAAAAACTGTCAATAAAACGCATTTAATTGTTTCAACAGCTTTTTTTTTCGGTGCATGTTTACATATTGCATGTTGTTAATATTAGTGTTAAAAAAATTAAAATATTTTTAATAAAATTGATTAAATTATAAATATACTATATATTCATAAAACAAAATGTTGCTACATTAATTATTATTATTAAATGCTGTTATTACTAATTAAGAGATAATTAAATATACATTAAAAATAATATCGTGCAAATTATTCATAAAATAATTGTATATATTGCTCAAATAATTACAATAATTTTATAATAATAAGTATACTATTAATTTTGTCTCAATAATCTCTGTAATAATATAATAGTCTCTAATGACTGGACAAGAAAAATCATGACTTTGAATTCTTCAAGATGATTTTCTTAAGGCTAAAGATAATTGCATCACACCTGCTGTTAGCTTCGATTGACGTTCAACATTACGCTTGATACAGTATATTTTTAACTCTTCTCTCTATTTTTAAGTCTTCAACTTCTGATATTGTTATAATAAGAGGATACTATGATCAAAACTATTCAGTATTACTTTTTAAGATTTCAAGAAATATAACATTCTTAATATCTGCATGACAGCTAAATGCATCATTACATTTTTGGAAAATAAAAGTGTCTTATAAAGGCTTTTTAATATAATATTAAAGAGAGAGAAAAAGAGAGAGAAAGAAAGAAAGTATAAAAATAAAAAGAAAAAAAGAAAAAGCTAATATTACTATAATTTTATTACTCAATACAAATTTCTAAAATTTATCACATATGTTAGATC